TGTGTGTGTGTGTGTGTGTCTGTGTGTGTGTCTGTGTGTGTGTCTGTGTGTGTGTCTGTGTGTCTGTGTGTGTGTCTGTGTGTGTGCGTGCGTGCAGGGTCCAGCATATCCCGCCAGCGTGGCCTGGCTAATCGGGGGGTTTCCGCAGGTACAAGGAGTATCCGCAGGACTTCCAGGGTACCCTCCAGCCTGACAGACCCACTGGGCGGTCACACACAAGCATCCTCACTTTCCACCCACTCGGGATGGGGAAGCAGAAGAAGAGGAGGTCAGGCCTAAGAGACTCTGACCTTCAGTAGTCCCACAGTACAAGAAACCCCCTTGCCTTTGTTCCACCCAGTAATTTCGCACTTTGAGCCATCTGCAGTGCCTGCCGGTGCCCTTCATGCCCACATTCCTCCCAAGCACTTGCAGAAGTGTTTCTCCAGCCCCAAAGCATGTGCCAGACTCCCTGGAGCTCTGGGAAGGCGGCAGGGTGCAGTCCTGGGACAACTTGTATGGGGGTTTTGGTGCAAGACATCACATGTTGGGCTGCTCATCCCTCTGTGCCTAGGGGTGAGGTACCCTCGACAAGTCCAGCAAGCCAGGCCCTCCCTGCCTGCTGAGGCCCCATGTGGTAAGGCAGAAGCAGGGCAGAGGACATGCAGCGGGTCTGCTCAGCGTTCCTCTGAGACAGATGATTTCTCAACTGACCATCTACATGCTCCTCCAGGATCTACCTAGGCTGAAAAAGGGGCTTTACCCATGCCAGCCCCAATGCCTGGACACCCTGCATAAGGCCACACTTGTAAAGGATGGAGCCTGCTCCTGAGGGACTGCCAGGAACAAGCAAGTGGATGAGCCCATGGTGGGCTGCTGCCAGGAGCCCTCCTACCTGGGAAGACTGCAAAATCCCAAAGATGCCCTGATTGACCTGGGCCAGACATGGGACAGGGGAGCCAGCCGGTCACTCAGGCAATCAAGCATGAGTGACGCTGCGTGGCCAGATCTGTGTGCCATAGGGCAGGATGGTGACTCCAGGGCTTGTTGCTTACTGGGTTGCCAGAGACCACAGCAAAGCTTTGCTACGGTGCAGCTTGGCAAGGCCACACAGCAGGGGCCAGAGCTGTGCAAACACTGCTCTGTGCCTCAGTTTCCCCTTTTGCCAAGAGCTGAAGGAGGGTCTAGCCAGCCAGTTCTGCCCTGAGAGGTAAGAGGGGGCAGGAAGCAGCTTAGCTGGCTTGTTGCCCTCTGATGGTGCAGCATCCCTATGTGGATGTGATCCCTTTGGTCCCTCCCAGCTACCAGGACTTTGGCAAAAACATGAGGTCCCTTCAGAGCTCCTATTCACCCTCAGCCTGAACTTCCAGCACCTGGGCCCAGACACAGCTCTGACCACCCTCTGGGCCAGCCACGGAGACCCTGAGGGGACTGTGGAGTCCAGGGACCCAGAGGAGGTGACCTGGCCGCATGGCTGAGGATTGCGACAAGAATGCTGTGCCTGGTTCCCTCCAGGCTCTACACACAGCTTCCTGGGTGGCTTTGCCCGGAACCAGATGCATAAAAGCATCCTAGGCGATGGTACTACCTCTGTTTGTGGCTACTGGTGAGTCTCTCAGCTAAGCCAATT